AGTTCCTATGACAACAGCGACCAGTACACTAATTGAGGTCTCAAGTGAAGTTACTGGGTAACAGTTTCCTCATCTGGAAAATAAGCCTCAAAGGGGTTCTGGTGAGGATTAAGTGGTATAAGCCGTGGACGGGAGTTGCAGAATGTTTAATAGGTAGTAAGTACTCAGTATAATCCTACATAAAGGTTCTGAACACCTATGAATGCATCAAGCTGGAGACATACGGCAATAAACAAAGCACACAGAAGTCCCACTCTGTGGGAATTAAAATCCCAAGGAGGGGTCTGGCGCAGTAGTGGCTAAAGTTCTTGCCTTGCACGCGCCGCATCCTGTACAAGCACTGGTTCTAAGCCTAACTGCTCCACTTCCCATCCAGCTCCCTGCTTGTGGCCTGGGAAGGCAGTTGAGGACAGCCCCAAACCCTGGGACCCTGCATCCATATGGGAGACCCAGAAGAAACTCCTGGCTTTAGATCAGCTCAGCTCTGGCTGTTGTGGCAACTTGGGGAGTGAATCAACGGACAGAAGTATCTTCCTCTCTGTCTCTCCTCCTCTCTGTGTATCTGATTTTCCGATAAAAATAAATAACTCCTAAAAAAATATCCCAAGGAGGAGAGACAAATGACAACTCAGTAAAGTGACCATCTCTGATCATATTAATAGGGAAATGTAGATAGTTGGGAGGGGCTGGGATAAGAGAGGTGGCAGTTGTAACTGGGCCAGCCAGAAAAGCCATGTCGGCAGGACGTGTGGCAGAAAGCAATGAGGCTATCTGGAGGGAGAGAGTTCTAGACAAGGAAACCACCAGCATCCAAAGAACAGAGTAACCATGGTAACCATGGAACCCAGGGGCTGGAGGGTGTGCACACAGGTCCCCAATCCCCATCTCCAAAATGCTGAACTCCAAATCCCTCCAGTCACGCTTACGTCCTGTCATCTTTCACCTGCAGGTGTGTGTGCTTGACAGTCCCTGCATCTGGAAGAGCCAGCTTCCCCTAGGTGGGGACCATGCCATGGCCTCCTGTGGCCCCTCCTTCTGCCACATCTCTCTGTCAGCTCCACCACTCGCGGGGCTGGGAACCATGTGGGCCCTGCAGCTCTCTCTCTCTGCTGTCAATGTTATCAGTATTGCTCATCTTGGGAAGAATACCCCAAGAAGTCAACACCTCCCTCAAAGGTGAAACTGTAAATTCCACGACCATCTCAGCCTCTGCTAGTGACAGCCAGAGTTCTAATTAGTCATGTTCTGTTCTTAATGGGGAAATAAACTGAATACGCAAGAGCAGTTCTGACAGAGAGGAAATGGGGAGGAGAAGGAAGGGAATGACGAAAAAGAAGCAAGAAAAGGGGAGAGGAAGGACATAATTAAACTACAAAAGAAAAAGTATAAATGAGGTATGGGCGTGGCCCTTCCTGCATCTATAAAAACGGGAGAGGGGAGCAATACCCTCCTCCATTAACTCTTTCCTGTACTTGTTCATTTGAGAGATGAGATTTTTGGCTAAGATTTTTTTTTTTCAATAACAGCAAGTTTTCCTTCCAAACTGAAAAGAATTCACAAAGTGGGGGAGAGGAGTGAGAAAATACCCTCTCTACAAACGTTTTAAAGTGGGCAGCGCCATTCTTGCCTTTCACTTGGAAAATCGCCTGAAATTGGCAGTGACTTTTTCCCCCTGCGTCCAGTCTCTCTCTCTCTCTTTTTTTTTTTCTTTAGTAGCTACAACAGGAAAGTGTCAGGATGCCTCGAAAACCTCACAGCCACCGCCGGATGCTCCAAAGTCAAGATCCTCCCGCAGACCGGAAATGCCTCTGCCCGCTCCAAGGTCCCCTCCCCACCAGCCCTCTCTATTGTCTGGAGAGATTTGCGTACATCCGACCCGAGAGGCCTCCCGCCTATAATCAAAGAGCTGACCCCAGAGAGGCGAGGCACGGGGCTGTCTTAGCCTTCCTGGCTAACACTTGGAGCCTACTGTGTGTGGGTCTGGATGCCTGAGCCACCGGCTAGGAACTGAGGGGCTAACACACATTTCCCAAGGTCCCTGGCCAGCGAGGGAGGTATGAGGGTGGGTGCCTGCACTGCTGCCAGCGCTTCACCTTTTCCTAAGGGTGGGATTCCATCATACAGGTTTCCTCACGCCCCATCTGAAGGCACAGCTGCTGTCAGGCATGCTTTGGTGGGTGGCTAGAATCTCCAAACACGGGGATTTAAGAACAGTGCTTAAGAGTTTTTTTGGAGGGGACAAAATTAGGTTAGATATTAACAGGGATTTCATAAAACCCAAATGGGATGAAAAATAAATGTCAGTACAACATAAGGATCAAACTCTTAGCTATTCACAAGGCATCCTGAGTGACTGATTTACCCTATTTTGTTCCATGTTTTATCAGTAGTCATGTCAATAACAACTCCAAGGAACAGACTTGCAAGATCATTAATTAATAGATTTTAAGGAAAATTCAATGTAACTGGAACAGGAGTTTTGGCAAGTATGTCCCCAGCAAAATGTACTTCCCCAAAGTCCAAATAAAGTTTTCTTGAATTTCTGTCCCCTCTCCATTAACTCAAATGAATATTCACAGTGATAAACTTCCTCCTCCCCGCCCCCCTCACCCCAAAGCTGGTCAAAAATGTAGAGACACAGTAGGTACTTTCACTATCAGAAATGGTTTCCCCTTTTCCCACAAGATGTCTTATCAGCTTTCTCCCTGAGAAAACCATAAAAACTAAGAAAAAGAAACCTTATGCAATAGTTCTCTAAATAACATAATACACAGCAAGCTAGTCATCCCTAAAAGTGATGTTGTTTAAAGAGTCAAAGTACATCATCTCACAAAATCAATATCCTATTAAGTTAGGAAAGGTTTGAATATCAAAGACCAACGAACTGAATAACTTAAAGTATAAGTACATGACCCAGAGGATTAATCACACACTGTCATGGCGAAATTAGGGCAATTCTTCCAATCATTAACGTTTTGCTTACAAAAATGTGCTTTTCTGTTTGTCTTCCTGCTAAATGATAACCGTTTTAAAGTTGAATCTCCTGATAAAAAGAGTTAAAAACAAAACAGGAGTTGTGCGGTAAAGGTCATGTATGCCGCTTCGACATGAAGTAGCCACAAGACAAACAAATGAAAAATGCTCGGATTGTAGGGAGAATTTGTAAATATTCATTGGCAGTCTGCAATGGGGCACTCTGGAAAGGCAATGCCAACCAGAACCCCGAGAATACTGTGTCTCCTCCAGTCCACCTGTTCCTGATTCTTCAGGACACAGTCAGAACAGGAGCAACTCAGAGAGAGGATCAGCTCCCATCGGAAAACAGCCTCCGTCCAGGGAATCGCTCCGGAGTGACTCCTCAGATCCCCCCTCCCCGATCGATATGTAAACTGGTATTTTTCTGCCTCATAGTCATGCTACAGTTACTTCCAAGAATAAATATTTAACCAGAGGTTATCTCCAGAAACAAAACACACATTCACACACACTCACACAGGATGCAGAGATTCCAGGATCACTTTAATTCAACAGCAGGGTTCACAAGCACCCCGTTCTCCAAATATCTGATAGCCCCGTTTCTTAGACAAGACTGATTTTGCCCCCTGGAAACTTTGATGTAGTCAAGTTCTAGGGGTGGCAGCTGGTGGGAGGGGAACTCAACCCTGGGGTGTCTGCTTTGAGCCCCAACTTGAAGAAATGGAGGAGATGGGGGAACAGGGAGGGCATTGTGGGGATCACTTAGACCACCTGCCTCTGTGCCAAGGTCAAGAACTTCACATTTCTGGGTCTATCCACACCTCTCAAAACCAGGACTAATCTTCGTGCCAATCTAAACTCACCAGGAACCTCATGGGAATATGAGAGCAGGATGCGACAGTTCCCCAAGAGCAACACTTGTTTCATTCTGTCTTTGGCTGTGTCCAGAGCCACAGCCCTGACGGAAGAAGGGCCATTCCTGTAAAGGCCGTCAGCCAGTGGGGTACCCAACTCCACAACTAAAGGCCAGAGAGGTCAAGGCCAAAGAGCGGCCTATCTCAAGCACAAGTCTTTGTCATGGTTTTCCTGGAACCTCAGGAACCTGACAGCTCAGCTAGCAGCTCCCAGCAGTAGGAAACCTCAGCCGACACTCACCAGCACCTTAGCGGAGACCTCACAGTCCCTCCCTCCATTCCACCTCAAGCTTCCTTCTCATCACCTACACATCTCCCTCCAGGAAGTGGCAGGACTCCCTGGAGGGAAGCCGAGGGCCCCCCCAGGGTCAGAGAGATTCAAGACCCAGCTGCTGCTTCTATACCAGGGACTTCTAAGGGCACTGGTTCCCCTCCAAGAGTAGTCCCCACTTGGCCCAGCAGCTCCGGCTTCACCTGGGCGTTAGAAACACAAACTCCGCTCCCATCCCACCTGTAGTCCCAACAGAGGCCTCCTGCGTTTCAGCAAAGCCAAGCGGATGGCCAGGCAGCCACGGATTACTCAGCCCTGCCACGGATTGCTCGCGTCCTCTCGGCCCGGCGCCCCTGTCCCAGACGCCGCTCCCCAACCCCCACTCCCCGCCCCAACCCCGAGCTGGCTGCACCGAGTCGGGTCTGGAGCCGCTGCCGACGAGGGATGACGCAGTGTTGATTCACGCTGGTCAAGGACGGCGGCCCGGGCCAGCTCGGCGACAGAGGCGAATCGATGGGGCCCGGGTGGCCGGCGGAGCTGGCCTCGGCCGTGGCTCTTGCCTGATGCGCCTGGGACTCCAACCCGTCGGAGCCGGGATCTGCCAGCAGGAGCCACACCAACTCCCTTCACCCCGACCCCAACTCCTGCACGCACACACACAGCCTCCTAGCAGATATCCAAGCGAAACCCAAATCCACCATCCAGGGGTCCGCCCCGGGCCGCAGCGCAGATACGCGCCCACGGGGACGAAAGCCCCACTGCCACCCAGGACCGCGCCGGGCACGCGGGAGGCGCTGCGAGAAATGGCGTTCGGCTCCCCCAAAGAACCAGACGGCTGCCGAGGTCAGTCGTCCTAGGGACGCATTTATTTCGTAGATATTATTCATTAAAAAAAAAAAAAGGAACACCATTTTGGACACTTTTTTTTTACAGGAAACAACTCTCTATATACACGTTATAGACATTGCTTGATATAAAACACAGTATCTACAATCTACTTACATTTAATCAACCTGCGATTTGTAGCTCACCTGCAATTAATTTCATCACCAAGAAGTCAGTTTCACTGTCTGCGCGCTGCACCGGGGCTATCCCTCAACACCATGGCCAAACAGGTGGTGACAGCGCAAAAGAAGCATGTAAGAATCTTTCTTAAGTGACAAAAAAGGACACACATCCTGGAGCCCAAAGGTCTAAAATGGCTCCGGATTTAAGACATCGGATAAGAATGTCATATAAAGAATGTTCCCTTTTAAAACATTCCGCGGCTGCCTGAAGTGTGGTTCCCTTGGGCAAAACACACCTCTGGGTTTGGGGTTCCTCTCTGCCTTTCCACTAGCTAGGAGTACATACAGATTCCAGAGAAGTCATTAAAACCTGGACGTTATAACTTAAAACTTTTAACAAAAACCTTCAGAAACTACCGTTTATAAATAGAAATAACAATTTAAATGGGGCTGAATTTAATCACTAAAAGTCACTTCACCAAAACAACCTAAAATATCAACCATCTGATGAATCAAAATTAAGGTTTCCTTGGAGGTTTGTTAATTAACCAGTGCACCACAGAGTTTAAGGTTTCCAGGAGGCCAGAACGTTGATTCCCTTGCTTATACAAGCTTCCCAGGTCTTCTGTGAAGATTTTCTGTTGCAAAATGTTATTCCCAAGTCCAGTTTTCCTGGTGCCAGTGGTCATCATCCAGCATTAAAATAGCCCTTATCACCTTCAATGTCCACTTCCTGATCAGAATCCTCGGAAATCTCCGATTCAAGGTCTTCCTGGGAGGCCACGGAGGGCGAACACTGGGAGCTCTCCAAAGAAGCACCTTTGTTCTGCTCGCTGGGCAGTTCTGGCCGCTGCTCACAGGGGCTGTCCACGTTGTCCTGTTCTTTTTTGTTGCTTTGGGGGTTCTCCTGAATGAAGGGAAGAAAATTGGATTCGAGTAGGATCGTGCAACAAGAAGGAAGGAAGAGGGACAAATGAAAACATCTTTCCACCTGCACCCTCGACTTGGTTTTTCAGTTATCAAATGTGTGGCCAGCTACCATCTTTTTCATTCAGAAGAACACATATGTAGGCCACTTTCTCACAGTGGAGGCAATGAAGTTTCTCTCCCATCAAAGACGATCCTCTTGCCAGATAAGTACCAGCCGCCAGAGTGGCAATGTATTACATCAAGTGAACACCTAATACCAGCCCAGACCCACGACTCTGAAGTTTAAGGGGGAAAGACACATGACTACAGATACAAGCTCTCTTCATTCTGTACATTTTTCAAACTTTTTAATTAATAGTGATCTTCTGCACATTTTTAAAAGAACGATGTTAAATACGGTGAGTTTAGAAGAAAGTTTTTAAATTATTACACTGGATCCCTTTTTACGTCATCTTTTGGAATATACTGGTAAACCTCTGTGTGCATAAAAAAACACAGCAAGGTACAGAGCCATGGGAAAGAAGAAAACACAAAATTAGAAAAATGTCCCCAGCTGAAAAGGAAGACTACTACATACAATATGCTTAAACGCTAGGTCAATCTTCTAAAAAAAAAAAAATCGCCTTTATTCCAATATTTTTTTAAAAGTAGAGGTTTTTACCAGCAAATAAATAAATTGGTGCATTTTTAATCCTGTTCTTCTGCATAATGAACACAGGACACTACACTGAAGTGTTAAAATATTCTGCTAAGTTTTTTTTTTAAAAAAAAAAAACAAGACTGTGGACTAATATATTCACCATATAGGAACGATGTAAGAGACAATTCAAAGGAAATATTTAAATCATGCTAGAGTACTAGAATGATAGCAATGGTATCATCTTATTTCGAATGAAAAAATAATGATCAATTGCAAAATCTGTATTGCTTTACATTTCCCCATAGTAGCATGTCCCTAAATGTTTTTGTTTTAAACATTTTTTTTTTTTACTGTCAACTGCATATCACGGACAAAGTTATTGTACTGATAATTTTCAGATAACTTCGGAAACACATCAAGGAGAAGACAACAAAACTGAATGTTGAGCTTTAAATCAATAGAGCTTCTTTTAAAAACTGAATCAGCCTTTACTTTTTATCACTTATTGTGTAACAAGGTCACTTGGAAGAAAAACTGTTAGAAAGTTTAAGCTACTTTTCGAACAGGCTTGGATATTTTCTTGCATATTTCATAACCATTTTAAGAGCTGGCATTAGATGGGAAATAATGTTAAACTCTTCGATATTTAATTCTTCTTTTAAAAAAAAAACACACACACATTTGAAACAAGACTTAACGGTGTTTGTTTCCTTGGGTTTACTCTTGAGGTCTGCCTGGTTTTATTATGGCTGTGTAAATAAAAGAAACAATTTTCTCCCAAAGATAACTGCTTAAGTCATTTACTGTCAATTACTTTATCTTTCCTGCGTTAATTAGATAAACAACATATGGGGTTTATAAAACAATTAGCCCGGAGTTTTACTAGCTCGTGTGTGAAAACCCAAGCATAATTGATATAGGAACTGCATTAGGTGCTTTTAACATTACTGCCACCTGAGCAGCTCATCCTGCATTTCAGCAGGACTATTTGCCTTTTTAATCAAGGTGAAGAGGTTAAATAGTCTCGCAAATGACTTTTGCATACAACCCATAACAGGCCTCGCAATGAGATAACGTGATAAAAAAAATATATTTATTTCCATAGAAACGTAACCAAGTAGATACCTGTTTTAGTCTTCTCCATTTTGCGCGTCGATTCTGAAACCAGGTTTTGACCTACAGGAAGGAAAGAAAGAAAATTTGCCAGGAGCTCAGGACCCAAAAAGAGAGTGCGCGCTGCGTGGAGGGGAGATGCGGAGAGAGCGCGCTGCGTGGAGGGGAGATGCGGAGAGAGCGCGCTGCGTGGAGGGCAGATGCGGAGCTGGGCGGTGCAGCCACCAGCCCCCCGAGGTGCAGGACGCTTGGGCTCCTCTGGCCGCTGGTCTCCCGCTCTGACCAGCGGGGAGGGGGCCCGGCGCGCATACCTGTCTCTCGCTGAGTTGCAGCATCTTGGCCAACCGCTTCCTCTCGGGAGGGGAGAGGTACTTCTGGGTCTCGAACTTCTTCTCCAGCTCGATGGTCTGGTCGTTGGAGAACCTCACCTGGCCGCCTTTCCGTTTATGCAGAGGCCTCTGCAGGAAAGGGCTCCAGAGTAAGGGTTTGCCTGTGGACGGCAAGCAGCGGCGGTTAAGGGTCAGGCCTGGTCCCGGCACGACAAAGGGGAACAGGGATCTCGGAAGTCCACCCAATTGGGCACGTCCACCGGACAGCACAGGGACCCCACACGGTCCCACCCCCACAGCGCGAGATCTACCCAGACACGCACAAGTCTCCCCCACGGGTGGACACACACACACACACACACACACACACACACACACACCGAGAAATGCCCACGCCAGGCTGGGCTTCAAATGCAAGTGTCCCCTTTGGCCCGTCGCTCTTAAACTGATAAACAACTGTGTATACCCCGAAGCCCTCCCGTAACCCGCATTTCTAAAACACTGAGGGGGCTGGACCAGGGGCAGGGGGTATACGTTTAGGGGGCTGCTCTACTACCCAAGGCCCGGATGTGCGGGCAGCGCCCCGCAACCAGTGCCCTGTAAGGCCGTTCCAGAAGCGTCCAATCTTGACCCCAGCTTGCCGCGGCCTCCTCTGATTTCACACCCGGCCGGCGGGGGCGGCCAGTTAAAGCCACCCCGTGGGCTATGGCAACATTTCCGTCAATGTGTTTCCTGTTGGTCTATCTCGAAAAACCCTTCGCTTCCTCCTGCGCAGTCCCAGCAGTAACCCAAGGAAACCCAGAGCGCGCTCTGCGACAACGTTCGCCCCAGACCCGCCAGGCCGAGGGTCCCGGTCCAGGTACCACGGGCCAGCAGAGTCCGCCGGGCTGATCCCCGCCACTCGACACTGAAACAGACACCACAGAACTTGGACAAAGAGTTCAGACACGACCCTCCACGTCGCCCAAGGGGCACAGAGATAAAGGCCGCGCCATGCTAACGGTGACATTAAGATGATAATGAATTAAAATGCTAATGGACTCCGAGGTCCCTACTGAAATTGCCCAAAACTGAGCGGTCTGAAAACGGTAGGGAACCCTCCCCCCCTCCGTCCCGAGGCTCCGGCTTCCTTATTTGTCCTAGGGCTTCGGACCCCAGAGGCGACAAAGACCCCCCAGAGCGCGAATCTCGGGTGGCTTAATTCTAAGGCTTCGCGCTTAGGAGACTGCCCTGCAACCTCTGGGGCGGCCCTTGCCAGCTGGCGCCGGGGGTCTGCAGTTTCCTTCTGTAAAGGGGAGTGTCAGTCCGTCCGTCCGTCGGTGCATCAGCAGAGCCTTTGCCTAAACGATTTTAAAGCTGGTATTGTGTGGGTTTTTTTTTTTTTTTTTGCTTGCGTCAGGCTTCAGGCTGGTGCAAAACAACCCCGAGAGAAAAAAAAAATAGGAAGCAACTGGTTATTTTAGCTGCCATAAAGTCACATCCCACACAGAGGAAATGAACAATATCAGAAAAACGGATCCCGGCTATCAGAAGTCGAGTGTTTCCTGAATTTGTCTGTATTGAGGATGTCGATAAAATAATCAGCAGCGTGCACTGCTCCGGGGGAAGGGGCTGCTTCGTGCAGCCAGGAAAACACTTAACAGCTTCTGAAACCAGATTTACTCCTATCGAGAACTCAAGATTTCCTGTATGAACGGAAAGGGTCAGGCTCTTTCACTGCACAAGCTTGCTGAACCCAGGCCAGCCCGGTAACCACCCGGGCCCAGAAGCTCCCCCCTTGCCGCTCCGGGCCGGCCCGGGACGCCTCGACACCCACTGCCTCGTCGCTCCCGCGCAGGGGACCCCCACCCCGAGCGACGCGCGCGGCCCGTGGCGGCTCATCCCCGTGCCCACTCCCACCCGCCTCCCGGGCCCAGACGCCTGCAAGGTGCAGGAAAAGCAATCTGAGTCACGGTGCGGTCAGCCAGCCCCGAGCAGTGCGCCGCGGGGCCCCGCGCCTCGAGTCCCCGCGCGCGGGCGCGCGCGCCCGAGAGTCGCTTTCGCCACAACTTTCTATTGCCTTCCCGGTGTCCCGCAAGCCGCCTCCCGGGCGCTGCCACCTGCCGGGTGGCGCCTCCCTCGCCGCAGCCGGGACTCGGCCCCGCCTTACCCAAGGGGTCGTGCCGGAGCAAGGCGTGCGTGTAGTCGTTCACCGTGCGCGGGAAGGGGTACAAAGGACCCCCGAAACCGCCGGGGCTGTAGGCGGCTGCCAGCGCGGCAGCGGAGTGGTGGGAGAAGGCGGGGTGGATCGGCGTGGGCTCGTACACCGGAGTCCGGTAGGAGGACACGAGGCTGGTGAAGGACGAGTTAGGGGAAGGCAGCGTGGGGGTGGGCGTGGGTGCGGCGGGCGCCCGGCCGAGGATGTCCTCGATGTAGAAGGGCGTGGGGTGCGCGGGCTGCAGCAGCGGCGTGGGCGCGTACAGGGGCGCCGCGGCCGCCGCCGGCCCAGGGTGCGGGTACTGCATGGCTCCGTGCGCTGCCGCCCCTCCGAGAGCTGCCGCTCCCCGCCGCCCTGCTACATTTATCCGCGCTCCGCGCTCCCGGCGATAGGCTCCGCCGGCCGCGGGGTGGGGCCGCGCTCCCTGGCCCCTTCCTGCCGCCGGGCCCTGCGGCCAATGGCACGGGGCCCCCGGAGCCGCCTCCCGCCCCTACCCCCGGCCCGCCCCCGGCCAGCCAAGCTCTCCGCCCCCGGGACCCACTAGTTCCCTGGCTCCAGGAACCCCCTGCTCCGGGGTGCCCCGTCGCCGCCACGGTCACGGTCCCCACGAGGGATCACCTCCACCCCCGGACACCCTGGCCAGAGACGCCCTGGAGCGCAGCCCAGAGCCGCGGGCCGTCCGGAGGGACGCGTGGAAAGCAGCCGCTTGGAGCACCGGGCCAGCGCGGAGGCACCGCTGCCGAAGCTCGGGGGACAGTCCAGGACCCCTGGACCCTGAAGAGAAGCAGCGGGAGGCGGGGACGCCAAGGCGCTGGCCGGAACGCCCCGCGGCCGCTCCGCGCCCCCCACCCCCGAGTAACGGTGGCGCTGACTGTTGATCGGGGAGCCTCCCTTGTAGATAGCGGGACAGCGCCGTGGGTTCCCCGCGAGTGCCACTTCAGAGAGCCACGACCCTGGGCTGAGGCCCCACGGGGTGCGTATCACCGGACCTCGGGTGCGCCCGTCCGCCCCACTTGGGGGCCTCGGACTCGGCCCGTTGTCTGGGAAGCTGGCAGGAGCTGCTCCGGACGGGACTGCAGGGCGAGCCCGGGTCTATGCGCCTGGCAGAGGCAAAAGCAGTCCTCTTGGATCCCCTGGGGGCTGCTGCAGCTCGCTTCTACCCGGGCCCCGGGGGTCGCAGCTGCACGCAGCCGGGCTTCCCCGAGCTGCACGTGTTTCCTATTGAAGCCTTGGCGCCGGCCCGTGTGGCCCCCGCTTCGCTCGCCTCCAGGGCACCGGGGCACTGACTTGATGGACGCCCTCCTGCGGTCGTCACACCTCGCGGTGAGCGGTTTGTACCGAGGTCCTCCATTAATCGTGGAGATGGAAAGACTCCCCGGCTTGTTCTGTTGCGCAGATTTTTAAAAAATAAAAAGTAAAATTGATGTATTGGAACTATTTCTCCAAACGCAGTTGGACCTTGGTTAAAAGAGGAAGTGGCTGGGAAGCCAGATGGCCTGGATTCCAGTTTCACTTCACACGTTTTTCTTGAACGGCTACTGTGGGCCAACGTGACACATGCCCGCCTCTGTCCCCGTGGAAACGGGAAGCAGATTCCGCAGGGTGACACATACATATGTGCTAGGAAGACCCCTGCCATAAAGACCTGAGCTCGCGACTTGACTTGGTTGTGGCAGCGGGAGGGGGATTTGAGAAAGGGAATAAGGACTTCCCAAAACATGATGTTTGAGATGAGAGGGACCAACCCAGCCGAAAGACCAGCACTGAGTGTCCATTAGTAAAACTTCTATCTGGACCACTTGGGACTTGGCCTAAAGTTTACTATTCTTTTGAGTTGAGGTTGTAAGTATCTTTTAAAATCCAATCAGAGCAGGGGCCCGGCATCGTGGACTAGCGGCTAAACTCCTCCTCACCTTGAAGGAACCTCAGGATCTCAAATGGGCGTCTGTTCTAGTCCCGGCAGCTCCACTTCCCATCCAGCTCCCTGCTTGTGGCCTGGGAAAGCAGTCGAGGATGGCCCAAAGCCTTGGGACCCTGCACCCATGTGGGAGAACTGGAAGAGGTTCCTGGGTCCTGGCTTCTGATCTGCGCAGCACCGGTTGTTGCATTCACTTGGTGAGTGAACCATCGGACGGAAGATCTTCCTCTCTGTATATCTGACTTTAGTGTTCAAGATGGTAGGTGCCAGAAAAAGTGCAAAGACAGAGCTACCACCTGCAGCACTGGCATTCCATATGAGCGCGGTTGCAGTCCTAGCTGTTGCAGTTCCAACCCAGTGTCCCTGCCAAGGCACCTGGGAAAGCAAAGCGCTTGGGCCCCTGCATTCATGTGGGAGACCAGAAGAAATTCTGGCTTCTGGCTTCAGGCCCATGAGACCATTTGGATAGTGAACTAGTGGATAGATGATCTCTCTCCCTCTCTATAGCTCTTTCAGATAAATACATCTGACAAGAATCTGGTCTGGGATCACCTCAAAGTTTCTTTGGAGATGTCCCCAATCGAACCGCTAGACTCAGAACCCTAACCATGAAGAGAAGTGCAGGTTCCATGGTCTGCCATGAAGTGCAAACGCCAGAGCCGAGCCTCCTCAGAGGCTCAGACGGAGCAGTGGACAGCACAATCAGGTGCACATGGAGGATATGGCAGTCTATCAGAACTGGCAGAGGATACCTGGCACCACAGCAGAGGACAGAACAAGTCAATCAACTACCCCAGCCATATGTTGGCAGTGAAAACCTGGGCAAACGGAGACTCTAAGATGGACTATGTCAATCAGTGGATTCTGCAACAACTTCATCATGCTTGGAATGGCGAGACTGGCAGCAATTCATAACTGTTGAAATATCAAAAGTACTCGAGCAGGACCCTTGGAGCATGCCCCACATCAGGGACCTGGGATGGGTGGGAAGCTGGGTGGGGTTTTTCCCTTTATCTCCCACTTTACCCCAGGTACGGGGGCGGGGGAGAAGCAATGATGTGGAAACAGTGGTCTTACCCACTTTCCTGTAGCCCTTGGCCCTTTATGCCCTAATCATCTATGTAAAGATTGTCAAAACTAAAGGGAAAAAAACAGATACATACATCTGAAAAAGAAAACAACTGCTTTGAAGACTTCCAGTAGCCAAATATAATTTATTCACAGATAAATTAGTGTAGTGGACACTTGGCCTCGTGGATGAGATGCTCACTTTTCATATCAGAGCTGCGGGAGTCAAGCTCTCCAGTCAAGCTCCACCGTGAATTCCAGCTTAATGCTAATGCACATTCCAGGCGGCAGCAGGAGATAGCTCTAGTAGTCAGGTCCTTCCCACCCGCGAGGGAGACCCTGAATGAACTCTGCTCCTGGCCTCTCCAGCGTTTGGAGAGTGAAGCGAAAGATGGAAATGAAAGCTCTCTCCTCTTTCTTCCCCGCAAATAAACACATTAAAAAAAAAAAAATTTATTTGAAAGCCAGAGTTACAGAGAGGAGAAAAGAGATCTTCCATCTGGTGGTTCACTCTTCAAATGGCTACAAGGACCATACATTGCACCAGGCCAGAGTCAGGACCAGGAGTTCCATCTGGGCCTCCCATGTGCTAGCAGGGGCCCAAGTACTAGCACCATCTTTGGCTGCTCTTCCCGCAGGAAATAAGCAGGCAGCTGAATCAGAAGCTGAGCAGCTGGGATTCCAACCAGAGCTCACCTGAGATGCCGTTCTTGCAACCAGTGACTTAATATGTGGTGCCACAATTCAGACTCATAAAAATAAGAATTCTCAAAACACATTGTTGAATAATCAGCCAGGAAGTTGACAGAGATACTCAGAGGGATAAAAGGAGTAGTGGATGGGAAAGCAGGGATACTGCCAGCTAACCGATATACAAAAGTTGATGAAAATTAAAAAGGCAGACAATGTGATAACTCACTCAAGAAGAACTAATGCATATCTAAACTAATGGCTGAAACAAGAATGAGGATTTTCATAGTCATTGCCCCACTTGGTTGAATACTGGAGTTTTAAGAAACTAAGTGACATTTTGAGGGAGAAAACTAAATGTGAATTGTATGTTAGATAACATTTAAAATTAACTTGTTTTAAGTTTCTTGGCATTGTGAATTATTTTTCTTAAATGTCCTTATTCTTGGGAGATGCAAATTAAAATATTTCCATGACCAGTGCATTGGGCTTGTCAAGTTAAGCCTTCACCTGCAGGGCTGGTTTCCCATGTGGGTGCCAGTTCAAGGCTGAGCTGCTGCACTTCTGATCCACTTCTCTGCTGGTGGCCTGGGAAAGCAGCAGAGGATGACTTAAGTGCTTGGCCTCCTGCACTGACATGGGAGACTCAGATGAGAGCTCCTAGGTCCTATCTTTGAACTACCCCAGCTCCAGCCATTGTGGCCACTTGGGGAGTAAACCAGCAGAAGAGAATTCTCTCTCTCCTCTATCTGTAACGTTGCCTTTCAAATAGAATAGAATAGAATAGAATAGAATGGAATGGAATGGGATGGAATAGAATAAGAATAGAATAAGAATAGAATAGAATAGAATAGAATAGTTTAAAACTCTTAAAAGAAAAATTTATTTCCAGGTCCAGCGCAATGGCTCAATTGACTAATCCTCCCCCTACGAGCACTGGGATCCCATATGGGCCTTGCTTCATGTCCCAGCTGCTCCACTTCCTATCCAGCTCCCTGCTTTAACCTGGGAAAGCAGTGGAGGGTGGTCCAAAACCTTGGTACTGTGTACCCACATGGGAGAACCAGAGGGAGCTTCTGGCTCCTGGCTTCGGATCAGCTTAGCTCTAGGCATTGAGGCCATTTGGAGTGATTCAGTGGATGGAAGAGTTTTCTCTTTGTTTCTCCTTTCTGTGAATTTTCTTTCCCAATAAAAATAAATAAATGTACTTCCAAAAATTTGATTACACATATGTGTTCATGCATACGTACATACCCATATAAAATGCACACATTTGTATTAATACATACATATATATATACAGATACAATGTTCAAAAGGTTTATGGAAAATGCATATTGTTAAAAATATGCACACAAATAAAAGTTCTATTTTCTGTTAATTTTCTTTTTTAAGATTTATTTATTTTTACTGAAAAGTCAGAATTACAGAGGAAGACAGAAAAACAAATCTTTCATCTACTAGTTTACTCCCCCAAAAGCTGCCACAACCAGAGCTGGATCAGTCCAAAGCTAGGAGCCAGGAGCTTTTTCCAGGTCTCCCACATGGATGCAGCAGCCCAAGAACTTGGCCAGCCTCCACAGCTTTCCCAAGTCATAAGCATGGAGCTAGATCAGAAGTGGAGCACCGTTGGGCCCAGCACGTTAGCATAGTGGCTGAAGTCCTCGCCTTC